GAGGGGGAGGGAGGGAGAATCACCCACAGTCACCAACCAGGACTGCAGGTGACAGGTGGGGAAGTGCTGCCCACATTCACGTGGGCCTCCCCACAGCCACGGTGACAGGAAAGGTCTCCCCAGAGTGTCAGGAGGAGCAGCAGTCAGGGAACACACGTGACAGTCACAGGCAGAAGCAGCGCGAACGCAGTCACCAGGCGTTTGGTGGAAGCGTGGGTGGTGGCAGCAGGTCCCGCGACCCCTACCTGACGCGGACTCCTGCAGCTTCTCTCTCTTCCTCTTCTTCTTCTTACCCTGGAGGGAGAGGGGCGCGGTCAGGTCAGAGGATGTGGGGACAGACTCAGAGGGAGGTGACTGTCCCTCCACCCTCACCCGAGTGCAGAGGCCGGCGGTGTGAGGTGGAAACCAGGAATCATCGCCCTGTGGCCCTGTCTCCACAGCGTCCTGCCACGTCAGCACCGTGGACACTCACACAACCACGTCCCCATGTGTGCTGTGGCCTTAAGGACAGCCAGCCTCGGGGAGTGCCCTGCTCTTACAGCACTGCAGCTGGAACCAGCCCTCAAGGGCGCAGGATCAACAGTGACAGAGCACGGCACCCACCGCGTCCCTGCAGCCCTCGTGGTAAAGGTGCCACATAACTCAGGGGACACGGAAGAACAAGACAGACTGAGGAAGCCGAGGGGAACCGAGCGGCTCACTGCTTCTGAGCACCGAGGGCCTGGCTTCCGAAGTATGAGTGCACTTTTCAACATCTCGGTGACAAATTAAACAAGGTAGGGCCCGTTTAGAGTGGGGTTTGATTTTCCACTTTTCTTCACAAATTCTTTGCCCCTCAGAAACAACTTTAAGGGGGCACAGACGCAGCTGACCTGCCTGAGGGAAGATGCGGGCTGCCCTTGGTACTTTCTCCTCTGACAGGACACAGCCCTCTCACGAGCCTCTATCTGACATCGTCCACGATAACACACCGGTGAGTCACGAGAGACCCAGCCGTTGGGCTCCACCGACACAGGCTCGGCTCTGGCCAGCAGCACACAGGTTTCTCTTCATCTCACACAGCCATGGGGCCCGGAGCTTTAGGAACCTGGTAGAATCTTCCTGAACACCAGGGTGGGAGAGGCCCGGAGCCCGCGTGTCTGGACTAACAGAGCGGCCTGGCGTGCGCTCCACGTGCTGCTGCCTCCTCTAGTGGGTTCTGTGCAGCTTCCACAGGGGCCAGGGCCATCCCCGAGTCTGCAGCCAGTGCCGCCTCATCCCGGCTCCCCTGCTGGCCTGCCTGGCCCGGGCCATCTCTCCAGAATCCTCGGCCGGTCCTCAGCCCTCCCACTGGGCCGAGCCCCGGGACATCGCACAGCCGCTGCCCGGCTCACAGCAAAGCCCTAAGTCTCGGGGAGACACCGCTACCAGCGTGGGTGGAACGCAACATTCACACATGGCAAACGCAGACGTCCTCTGCATCACAGTCACACAGACTGCACTGTGCTGGAAGCCTGAAGCACAGGACTGGGAAGCTCCACCGAGACATTCAGCTCCTCTCTCCTGACAAGATGCCTGCTCCACCGAGGCAGGGACACCTCAGCCATTTACCCCAGGTGTCCCCGCAAACCGAGACTGTGAAATCGGGGACCCACGGCACGGGGCATTTTAATATTAAACCACTGAGATGTGTTCAGTGCGGCCTCTCTGACAATCAGGACTGCAGTCGGGCTTTTTATTCTAGACTCTCGTCCTGCCCTTACTTCAAGCTCGGTGTCTCCAGGTCAGTGCTACCGGGTGACCGAGCCCCGCCTACCTTCCTGGCTGAATAAAGATGGCAGGAAGGAAGCTGAGTTCTCCTTTTATTCCTTAAAAACTGTGTAGAAAGAAAACTTTAAAGGTAAACTCATGTTGCACTAGCTTTCTTTAAAACGACTTTCTTTTCAGGCCAGGCATTGTAGCACATTTGAGTAATCTCAGCACTTGGGAGGCTGAGGCAGGAGGATCGCCTGGGCTACGTACTGCGGTCAAAGCCAGCCTGGATTACAAAGCAAGACTCTAAACCAAAACACAGCAATGACTTTCTGTTAATATTTACATAGGGAGAGAATACGTGTGCTTCTTTTAAAAAGTTGAACTCGTCACCTGAGGATCAGAAAAGCCATGTAAAGGCAGCAAGGCTCCCTGCAAATTCTCAGCACAGCAGAGCTGTGGCATGGTGGGGACTGGAAGGCAGCGGCTACTGTCCGGCCCAGGGCCCGGAGCTTCAGGGAGACGGTAATGACCGCTCTAGCCAGGAGCCCGGCTCGGCCCAGTCTTCCCGCGTCTTCCCAGGCCGGCTTTGGCAAATTCACAAGGGAGGCGCCGCCCACCTCCAGCTGGGGGCAAACTGCTCGGCCCCAGTCCTCGCCAGTCCTCGCCGGAGAGGAGAGACAAAGGGACATTCCCTAGGGCCGTAGGGATCAGTGGCTGTGGCCCAGGCCGCCGAAGGTCTCGGGTGGTTACCCAGTGGCCACAGGGCAGTGGGAGCTGAGCGCACAGGAAATGCGCAGTGGCCGGGGACTTCCTGCCTCCAAGGCGCCCGCAGGGGTTCAGCCCGATCCCCAGCAGCTCCGCACCGGAACGCGCTGCGCAGCCCATTCTCACACGGGTTTCAGAGGTTCTGGGTCTTCCGTGGGCTGCACGGCCTCCGACACGCATCCCTGTAACCAACTCTGGGGACTAAAGCCCCACTGGACCATCTACAGCAATGGCCACGAGTTAAGACTACACGCTAAGTAACAGCTTCATTCTTACCTTAAAAAATTTTTTTTAAAGTTTCTTGGTTGAGGCACAGTCTTATTTTATAGTTCACACTGGGCTTGAACTCACTATGTAGTCCAGGCCGGCCTCAAACTCGCAGAGATCTTCCTGCCTCAGGCTCCCAAGCACTGAGATTACAGCTTGCGCCACCATGCCTGCCCTTACCCCTTTTGGAAGGGACAATTCCATTTCTACTAAAGCTTTCCTGGCTGGCTTTCCCAGTGCTAGTCTCGCATGGGCTGAGAACTGTCACAGATGGACCAAATATCTGTGTTGCCACAAATCCTAACCCCGAATCAGATGGGGTGAGCAGAGGCAGCCTTAGGTGGTGATCGGGGTGCAGCCCTCAGGAAAGGCATCGGGTCCCACAACGCTTCGTGGGGGAGGGCAAAGCACGAGCAAAGGGTGGCTGTCACCAGACATGAAGCCACCGGCGCATGGCACTGGATTTTCGTCTCCAGGACTGCAAGGGACACATTTCTCTTGTCTGTAAGCCCTCAGTCTACGGTATTCTGCTACAGCAGCCTGAACAAACTGAGAATGATCTCCAAATTTTCAAATTATTCTAAGAGCTCAAAGAATCAAAATTATTCAGTCCTATAAAATGATAGAACGTCACATATATCACTTATAATATGCTTTCTAAGCAACAACCCTTGCCATACCAAGACAACACTCATAAGATACCCAAACCGCAGTACTGAAAGAACCGGCAAAGGAATGGAGTAGTTCTTGTCAATAAAATGAAACTAGTACAAATTAAACTCGGTAGAACCTACTTTGTCTGAATAAGATACACTGTAGCTGCCAGGGTAGATTAACATAGAATAAAAATTGCTTACAGCTCTGATTCATCTGTGGCAAAAGAAAAAAGCCACCTGAATACATTGTTTACAGGAACTGTAACATAATATAATCCTTTAGAAAGAAATTTGACAATATATGTCAGGAACTTTAAAATATTTATATTCTTTACCTCAACAATTCCATGGCCACAAATCTATTCTACAGGGGGAAATCTGTTTGAATAGACACACTCATTGCAGGATTACTTGTATTTTTGAGGGAAAATGTAGAAAACTTACATGTCTAAAAGCAGAAAAAAATGGTAAACTAAACTATGACATTCACTGAAACACTCAGTATGCCATGAAAGCTAAATGCTTCATACACACACATCCACACACACATATGAAGTATGACACAAAATATATGTACATACCCACCTAAATCCAATAGAGGACACACCTGGGGAAATACCAGAATGTCAGGCAAATAGGAATCTTGCCTTTATATGGTGAGATTATGGGGTTTTCTTTTTTAAACCTACATTTTCATGTCAAAGTTTTACACTTTGATTTTTAAAAGGTTTTATTTTCAAAAATGCATTAGCACCCTCTGCAAAATAACCAAGACGGCTTACAGCCCTCACGATACAGTAGGACGGTGCCCTGAAATCCTCAGTCCAGCTGTCCTTAGTTGGCAAACCCGGGGAGGACCCAGCACTCTGACCCGCGCATGCCCGGCACGAAGCAGGCGGGGGAAGGAGCGGCTTACGTAATTGTCTCTCGCCGACCAGCCTGGGTACAGCTGCATGTGGAGCTGTCTCTCCTTGCGTGCTAATTCGTAATACTTCGCCTGCTCCTCCCGAGACAGGGCGTGCCACTGAAACAGAGCAGGAGGGGGACGAGGTGAGTGACACGGCAGCAGTGTACTTCGCGCTCCCACCTTGGAAAGCTGCAGGCATGGAGCCTTCAACTTCTATTTATTGCCACCTGGCCGAAGACTGAGAGGCCGGAGCCAAAGGCCACTGTCGGTTTCCCTGTCCTGTTCTCCAGCATCACACAGAACACATCAAAGTGGCAGGGTAAGTTACAAAGGACTCTCGCTGGGGAGCCTCAACACCCGGCCACGCTCTCCCCAGCGCTGGCGGCAGATCCTGGCATCGGCGCCCAGACGCCCTGTATGCATGCAGGGCGTGAGGATTTCCAGAGGTCAGAGCAGCCACACCCCCGACCCTCGCACTCTGCCTCCCTCCGGGCCCTCGCTGTCGCCTCCCGCTCACACGCACGTGCACACACGCACCGTCTACTGGGGAGGCGGGCGGCACTGTCCTCGTGCCTAGCGTACTTCTGACTCTGGCTTTCGCCTCCCCCCACGGGAGCCGAGGCGAGACCTAAGTGCGCTGCAGCACGCGGGGCTGGAGACCAGTTCCCTACGGGAAGCAGCACACGGCCACTGCCTCAAGCTTCCTTTTTTTCACAGCGGTGTGCTTCTGTACCACAAACCCCGAAACAGGAGCTGCAGGCAGGCACGGGCAAGACATGCCTTGCACACTGCTTCGCACACATCTGCACACAGCTTTGCCCAGTCCCATGCAGACACTTCTTGAGAGTCTGCCCAAGGTCCTGTGTGCCAGAGCTGCAGGCGCTGATGGGACCTGGGCACCCAGCAGCCTCAGGCGCCCCATGGAGGTGGCGGCGGCAGCAGCAGGAGACATGAGCCTGAGCCACGAGCTCCCCTCTGCTGCCCTGGCTCCGGGGTGCAGCTCTCCCCACCCTGCTTCCTGCCCAGACATGACCATCCTATGGCTGACATCATTCTCCCTGATCTTGTTTCTAAACAGATTTAAAATAGGAAAAGCTGGCGTGGTGGTGCACACCTGTCATCCCAGCACTCGGGAGGCTGAGGCAGGAGGATTGCTGCAAATTTGAGGCCAGCTTGGGCTACACAGTGAGTTTAAAGCCAGTCTGAACTACACAGTGAGACCCTGTGTCAAAAAAACACAAACAAACTTGCTGAGAAAACCAAGAAGCACAAATAAAAATGAAACTCCCTCAGAGTTTTCCAGATCATGGTTGGGTCTCCACCTATACAACCAGGTATCTCCAGCTAACACAGGGGAACAAGGCTGGCAAAAGACAAGACTAACAAAATGGAAAACAATACAAGGAGAAAAAAGCAGGACACACACTGAACTACTCCCTTGCATTTCCAACAAAACTCGCTCACAAATAAAAGATCATTCACCAGGCTGAAATGCCTGGGACACAATGGTACTGATGTTTCCGCTTTGGAAACAAAAAGCCAGACTAGAAAGATGGTCTTTCCTTACAGGGGATCCTAAAATACTCTTCTACCTCTTCACTTACTGAGAAATTCAAAGGTTTTTAAAAAACCAAATTTCACGACCAACGTTTTCACCAAGTTGTGGAGAGAAACGCTCGTTTAAATGTTAAGAAACTGATACCGTTCCGTGATAAGACTTTCTGACCATAAAGTTGTGGCAAATGGAATTTCCCTGAAGAGCCATGAAGATCTGAAAAGTAAAAGCTAACATTAAAGTAAGACTTGTGCCATTTGTATTTATAGTAGGAATCAAGAAAACTTTGATTAATTTGTAGGAATGAACATTTCTGTTTTAGAGAGACAGTAAGGATGAATAAAAAAAAAATCAAAAGATAAAACATTCCAGGATGGATTTAAGATCCACTTTTAAGAACTCTAATTATCCCAGTGAAAAACTCCATGATGGGGAAGCCAGGGCTTTGAAGAGCTCGCAGGGATAGCCCTACAGAGGGGAGCTGGGATGGGTTAGAGAACCTGATCTTAGTCAAAGATCTCAGAGGCCTATAAACAGAAGCAGGTGTCTAAATCAAAGGCAGCAGGACCCCAAATGAGAACCACGTTGGAGGGCACAGGCGTGGGTCTGGGATGGTTTAGGGCGCTGAGAAAGCAGTAACTGTGGGACCATGCATTAAACATAGGAAGCCTCCTCCAAATCATGCCTCCCTCGCTCCCTCGGGCAGGAAAGTAATTGCTGGAGGGCCGGCCCGGGGCCTCATGCTCAAAGAAGAAAAAAGGAAAAGTTAAGAGTGTCACACAAGCCAAAATAAAAATGTCAGTCCTCGTCCTCATCAGGGAGAATGCTCATCAGCCTGTGGATTCCTAAGGCGGAGGATGGGATCTGTTCATCTGCTACGATCTGGCTTAGGAAATGGTCGTAATCACTGTTATGAAGTGTTTAAGAATCCACAGGGAGATAGGGCATCATCATACCCTGGACACCAAAAAACTATAATCAACCGATGTACCCTGTGCCTGGAACCCTGGCGTCTCGCAGACTGGAAATCACTGTGGCTTGAGGTTCGCCCACAGGACGATACCTTGCTCGGATTTCTGCTTCCCACCTCTCCGCCAGCTGCTGGCTCCTGAGGCTGCTGTTAGGGACACGCAGACAAACTGGGGCTGGAACAAGTGGTGAAGGCCAGCAGTAGCTGACACGCGCTCCTGCGCCCAAGGTGCCCAGTCCCTCAGCTGGATGTGCAGGAGCAGCTCTGAGCTTCTGGAAGTGTCAGACACACACACAGGGCGATCAATGCGAGAAGCTCCCACGGAACATGAGATGGGGAGGTGGGTCTTATGCACATGGCAAGGGACTGAGAGATGGAGGCAGAGGAAGGGGAGGGAGAAGGGACAAAAAAGAAGGAAGCGGTGTCAGCCGCAGGTACCAGCTCCCTGCGGGAATGTGATTTTTCTGTGCTGCAACATTTTTTTAAATGATAGAAAACTTCTAAATTATAACACAGTCAGTGAAAGCATCACTTGAATGGCACAGAATCATTCTCGTCAGGCTGCTCTTCAGACACCTAAGCAAAACCACCTCAGATTCCACAAAAAGCACTCAGCGGGACGGCCTCATGCTTTGCCGGTGGCTGGTGTGGGTCTAGTTCTGGTCCAGGGCGGGGACAGGGCGGAGCATGGGCTGGGGGTGCGTGAAGGGCCTGGACACCCGGTGTGCGTGACGTAGGGCCAAGAGCCTCTGTCCAGAACCAGAGCTGAGACCCTCCACTCTGCTCCGCTCCCGGGGCTTCCCCGAGGCCCACACAGGAAGGACGGAGCCGCCCACAGCTGCCACTGTCCTCAGGGATCGGCACAGAAAGACCTTCGACAGAGATGCCCAAGAAAGAAAGAGAGATGCCCAGAAAACCAGCTGCTGCCTCCTGGAGGCCTTCGAGTGCCGAGCAGGGCCTCAATGCTCACAGCGCTTGCTGTCAGCAGCCACCAGTGTGGCCGGACTTGGCCCTCCCTCCCCAGAGCCAGGCCGCACGGAGAGCCCCGCGCTCACTGTGAGCCCTGTGCCGTGCCTCTACTTACCCTTCTGCCGAGGATCTGGTTGATGGCCGCACTCTCCTTCAGCGTGCACTCGGCCACCACGTTGGCCCGCATCTCTTTCATGTACAACATGAATGCGTTCAGAGGCTTCTTAATGTGAGGCCTTTTGGGCTCCTGCTCCTTTCTCTGCTCATGCTGAGGCTTCCTAAAAGGTGGATGGGCAATGGGTGGAGGGTGAGGGCCCGGCAGGAGGAAGAGAGGCGGGTGTCTGGTTTACAGGGTGAGCCTGGCTCGCCTGCAGCCCCCAGGACGCCACCAACCCCCAAGGTCAGCTCCTGGCCTAGGGGATGGGAAGGCACAGGGCTCCTATGCACCCTACAACACCCTAGGGAGAGGACCCACTGCTGTGAGAAGTGCATCCTAGCTCTCCAGGCACCGAACAACCAAATGGGCTTGGGGAGGAGGTCCCGTCACCGCTTCCCAATGTCTGGGGCTGAAGGGCCCAGGGCCTTGCTGAGAAGCTACTGAGACTGCTGAGTCTTCCCCCCAACCACACGCACATGCACTTGCCACACAAGTGTGCACACACACACCTGCCACCTGTGCACACATCAGCGGAGGCCTTGTGGACAGGCACACGCTGCCACCACCACCCTGTCCCCTGCAAAGACCCCAGATGCCGAGCCCCGGTTCCTGCTTCAGGGTCCCCAGGCTTCACTTGCGCCCCAACCCTGAAATCCGGGTTGCAGGAGCCACTGCAAACCCAGGTCACTGCACTTCCAGGAGGGCAGGCAGCAAACCTGCTCCACGCCCTGCCCAGGGGCTCTCAGGTTCCCACTTTCTGAGCCAGATTCAAGCCCTGAAGAGGCTCCCTCCGAGAGGCCCCGAACCTCAGGGGGATGCAGCCTCGGGGCAGAGCAGCAGGGTCCCCAGCAGCGGGCCGGGAGGAAGGGGTGCTACTCACGTGTGCAGCAGGTCGCTGTCACTGTGGGGGTGCTCCTGTTTGACCTGAGGTGTGACAATGGCCGGGTGCGGGATGCCGGTCGTGTGGGGACCGGGCGGGCCAGGAATCATGTGATGGGAGAACCTGCGAGGAGCAAGGAGATCCTTGTGCACGGCTGGAGCCGCTACGGGTGAGCGCACGGCCTCACGCACCCTCACTTAACTGCAGCGCAGTGGCCGGGGCGGGGGTGGGTTTGGGTTTTTTTCTGTATTTAGGTGAAAAAATAGAATTATTCTCCACATGTTTTCTTTTTCAAAGTAAGAGTAGAACTTGACATTTCTCCTGGGAGGGGAGGCGGTCACAGGATGGGAGAAAAAAAGTGAATCATTTTTCTTGCAAAGCAGTTTTCAGGTAAGAGAACTTACTGGAAACACGGCACTTTATTAGATTTTGTTTGTCAAGTGGTTTCTAAGTGTAAGCTAAAGTCTCATTTAAAAACCTCCACAATGTTCCTAAACCACTGCACGAAGCCTCCGCACACGGTTGGCCTCTGCCTTCGTACCAGACGTCAGCGTCTGCATTCGCATCATTAATAACAGGGTGATGGGAAAAAGGACAGAAGCTTGTCCATCAGTTCCCCAATTGATCAGGCTTCCCCCATCAGCTTCCAAGAAGGTCCTACGGACACATAGTAACGTCCAAGAGTTCTACAGTTCGGGACACCTGATACCAGAGCTAAGGGAGAGACTTAACTGAAGGGAGGTACACAATTCCGCATTGAGGTAAAGACTACACCTGCTAAAGACTTTCTTCACCTGATGATGCTTGTACAGCATTAAAAAAAAACATAAAATACCTGCAACCAGCTAACACAAAGGAGGAAAACTGCCATGCAGGAAAAATTAACACCATACTCCCCACGACAGGCCTGGAGCGATGAGGCTATGCATTAGAGATTCTTGCTTTCCAAACTGTTTTAAAGTAAACATTAAATTCCACAAGAACGACAGCCTCGGGTCTCTCATCATAGCCTGTGTCATTAATTCCTTCTCGGATATGTAACATTCCAGAAACAGCCTTCCGTACACGGTAAGGAGGCGTGGTAAAAGTACAAATATCTGGCCAAATAATGATGCACTATTTTAAATAATACAGGACACGGACAAATCCTGTCATTCGACAGTTCTGACAGCATCAAAAAGTGTCAAAGTGCACTTCAGGGGCAAGATACTGACTCTGTCCCCCACCCAGCCAGCGAGGTTCACTGAACAAATTATGTAGACACGTGTGTCACATGCACATGTGCATTTTTTCTTTCTTTTAAAGCTGAAGTTCACCCAAGAAGCAGCAAGCTTCACACCCACACAAAAATGACAGCGCTGCAGCCCCCCGAGTCCCCACTGCGCTGAGCCCCCTCAGGGGACACCCACTGCCCAGGAAACCCCGTAGCACACAGCTTAGGGCTAGATGAGGGCGCACTAGCAGGTGGCGCCAGCCCCTCCCGTAGCGAAGCATCACAAGGCACAGCCCGAGAGGCGTGGCCTGGCCCCCACTTACAGCGGGGCCACACCCCCCCCCAGCCACGCGCTAGGCCGCATGCCGTAAGCCTGTGACCCTGTCCCCGCGGCCCCAGGCCCTTTGCAAACACTACTGCACCACAGCGATGCAACTCTGCTCAGCAGAAGCAAATCCGAGAAAGCCCAGGCCCAGCTGTGTGCGTCCCAGCCTCTCCCACCCAGCGGCCAGGCCAGCCAGCTTCTCTTCCATGGCCTCTCCGGGCATCTCGGTGACCATAGCTCCCGGGCAGTGACGCCTAGCGGGACAGCCAGCACACAGCACACGCACGTGGCTGGCTGGGGCCGGGGCAAGCGGGCATGGGATGCAAGCGTGAGGGCCGCCCCACCTACCTGGACATGGAGGTGTCGACCGACAGGGAGGGTGGGTAGGGCTGCCTGAAGCCACCCGAGACGGGGTAAACAGGCTGGCCCTGCCTGAGGTCACAGAAGAGAGGAGCCGTCAACCACGAGACCTGTGACCACCCAGCGAGGGGCGGCATTGGCGGGCGTCGAGCACCACCATGTCTCTTCCGACGGGGACCTCCCTCCCTCCACCAGGGAAACAAAAAGCCCAGCCACACTAGTCCTAGCCCTTCCCTCCCCACCCCACCCCTGCTCTGAAGAAAGTAGGCACTTCACAAATGCTTATTGAAGCTGGGTGGCCCATGCCTATAATCCCAGCACTCGCAAGGCTGAGGCAGGAGGATCACCGAGTTCAAGGCCAGCCTGAACTACCTAGCGAGGCTCTGTCTCAAAAAACAAATCAAAAGCGCACTGAATATAACTTGGCCCAAGAATAGTGAAATACTCCCTTCTGCTTAGTGAATTGAGAATCTTTAAGAATGTCAGAAAAGGGAAGAAAGGAGGATATAAGATTTTATATTATATAAAAATGAATAAACATTTCAGAAACACTGCACCTTTATCCCCTTCTATCCACGTGTTAGAGTCAAGAAATAAAAGATCACGGGCCAGGGATTTAGCTCAGTGGTTTTGCTGCCTGCCTCGCAAGCGCAAGGACCCGAGTTCGATCCCGGGTACAAAAAAAAAAAAAAAGACATAAAAGATCAGTTCAATGCAGTTATTTCTTTCCACCCCAAGAAATTCCTCATCCCCTCTATTCCTTCTGCTTCTCACATTTCTCATTTATGCAGTCTGCATATCCAGCCACCTGCCAGGGACCTTGGCGGGCACTGCCCCTATGTGGTGAGGGTCAGACAGAAGCACTGGCTGAGTCTGAAAGTGCCCACAGGGTCGCCTGACCCAGCAAGACACCACCTGAGGTTAGCAAAGAATGGGAGGGAGTGTGACCCAAAGTAGTGTGAGCACGGGGGAGCGTGTGGAGCCCCGGTGGCCCTCACTTGCAGAAAGACAGACACGTCGGTGTGTCCAGGCAGGGCCAGGGCCACCTTATGGGGACAGGTCTGGGAGCAACTGGGGAGAGAGATGCTGCTGCAGGTGCAGCGGTTTCCATGGGGAGAAGGGAGGAGGGAGGACCGGCAGCCGCAGGTGCCAGCCGTGCCTTCTCCCCACCGGAGGGGCGCAGTAAGGATGTGTTTAAGAAAAAACAACCCTACAAAGTAAAGAACAGTATTTGGATTCTGAACAAAACAAAGGCCCCTGACTCGTTTGCTTCTCTGAACTGAAATCGGATGATTCTTTATTAACATCGAAAAGATGCTTTCATGTCACCGCACCTCTCTCAGGCTGGGTGTCCTGTGCTCTTTCATCCACTCAGAAGCAAAAGTAGCTATGCAATGTGTCCAAGTCCATGTTTCAAACATGTAAGTTGTTAATAAAAAGAAAAACCTGGAAAAAGCAAGCAACCCTGAGCGCTAACTCTGAGTAGACATATCGAGTGCCCAAAGCCACAAATCCAATCCGTAAAACCATGAGCTTCAAAGCAAGGGCTACACAGTCATTTTCTACCCATATTAGCAAACGGATTCAGTCCATTTCACAGTCTGTTTTTTAATCTTTCAAATTGAAATGAAAGAAAGTTATCGCCCCGCTTGTTGCTGTGAAATGCCCTCCACTCCGCAAGTGTGAACGCCCACGAAGCTAATTCCCAGGAGTGGATGCGGAACAAACGTGTTCCAGCCCTGGCGGGGTGCGGGGAGGACCTTACCAGCCGAGAGGAGGGGTGATCTGTCCCACGCCGCCTGGAGACAGGGGGTAGAAGGTGGGGATGTCAGGGGCCGGAGGGTGTCTGGGCATGCCTGCGGAAGAGCAGAGAGGCAGCATCTGTGTCGTGGCACACGCGAGCAGAGAAGCAAGCGAATGCTCTATGCTGTGGACACGCGTGGCCCACACGCGCCCACAGGCTCCTGGGCACACAAGCCAGGCTGGGAGTTTTTCTGAAGACATCAACATCTGGAAAATCAGGGTCTTCAGCAGCTCCTGCAGGAATAAGTCTGAGGCCAGGAAAAGTCACCCAGACTCTGAGGATCCCTTCTGCCCTCATTCTTTTACTTGGGTGAAGAAAACAGCAGACCATTGTTTCAGGTGGGATGGAAACCACCCGCCCTTCCTGGTGCCCAAGGATTAGGTAGTTCACCGCCTTCCTATCTTCGCTGGTTGCCTCTTGGGCGCACAGATTTGGGAAATTCGATACCTTGGGGGATCAGGGATTAATTAGGCATCATCGGCAGCCCCGCCATGGTCACGCTTGATACGATTCATCTGGTCTCTGCCACCTTGGCTCCCACTAAGCCTTCACATGGGGCGTCCTCCCGGGTCCAAGGCCACGCTGCCCGGGATTAGCAACAAGGGCGAGGAGACTACGCACGCTCCCCAGGCCACTGCCCCCAGCTGCGCACACCACCTAGATTCATCCCAATCCTCACCCCCAACGACGGCTCTCGTGGACAGCTGACCTTAGGTGCAAAAACCAACCAAGCCCCCTAACCAAAACAGAACAACAAGGCAATTAAATCCAAAATGTAAAAATTCAGACTTGACGTTTTGGGGCGAAAATGATTCTGAAAAGAGCCACACGCGTCACTTCTCACTGCTAATCATGGCCTTGAAAGGCCGCTGCCAAATCCACACGCCTCACATCCAGGTGGAACAGCACGGATCCTGGCCAAGAGGTGGAAAGAGGGGTGCGTGCGGAGAATTAGGGGTGCTCTGTGATTACCTAAAACGCCTAAAAATCCTGAAGGCCTTGACCATATGGGAATGACTTAAGCAAATGCTGCCTTCAAAGCAGATGCTAATTTGACTTTGAAGTTTGAACAGAAGACTTCTCAGTTCTTCCAGGAAGTAGGAGGAAGAAGAAAGGCCCTAATCTCTTTCCACATTTTGCTGTTTTTAAAACAATTGTCTCAGATCTCCTTTTTAAACATATTTTTTCTTTTGCTAGAAATACTGATTCTTTTGATTCCAGTAGATCCCAGGTTCTGTACTCTGGGATTTTTTTCTTGGGCCTGGGAAAGTTCCAGGGGCCTGAGGTGTTGATTGTTCAAGTCTCGACTCAGGAGGAAGGGTTTTTGTTTTGCTTTTTCTTTTTTAACTTGCTGCCTCGCTTGCCCTGAGATCCAGAGATGTCCAAATCTCAGGTTCTGCTGAAGCAAAAACAGAAAACAATACAACCAGCCCAGCCCAGTGAGGCATTAGACACTTAGTGGACGTTTTTATTATATGAACCTGAAAATCATGGCTGGGAGTCAGAGACATGCTGAGTGACCTACTAAACCCCTGTATCTCACAGATGCGCAAAGCAAGGTCTAGGGGTGTAAGCAGGCCCTCTCTGGGTACATGTAAATACCTTTTGTTCTGGGACACAGGGAGCTGACCACGTGCTGCTGTCCACGCTCCCCTATGTTGTACAACGCCATGCCGGGCCGCGAGTCCACAGGAGACAGCTGTGAACCGGTTGGATTTGGTATTTGTGCTCGGAGGAGGATGGAGGGAAGCGGTGTTTACACCACGCCTGCTGTGTGCCAGGTCGAGGTGGGGATTCAGGTCGACTGCATCGCATCTGCTGAAATCCTACTCGCCTTTCCAAGGCCTCTGTTCCTGACAGTTCCTCTCACTTACACAGCACTGGGCAATCGATTTCTCCTTGGAGTCTTCACCCTCTTATCTGTGTTTTTAATGTGGCACTTCGGTGTTCGGTACTGCATTCCATAAGTACATGTGCAGATGACTTCCTTTATGCACACCCTGCTGGAGCGAAAAGACTGCCCGGTACCAACCGGGTATCAATCAGGCCTGTGCGCAGGAGGCTCTCTGTAAATATTTCTAAATGATTTAGCAAACAAGTGAAATAGAAAGTGTTAAAACAGACCTAGTCCCTAGGCTGGGCCAATAGAGTCGACCATTTTGCACCTAAATGTGAGTGCTTAGTTTGCTGTATGAGCAGAAAATGAAACTGTCTTCTGAACAGCTCATGCGTCTTTGATTTCCTGTTTCCTAAGAAGCGTGTGCCTCTATGCCCACTGCGGTGACACTGCGCATCGCCTGTTAAACTAGTGTTACTGAGCAGTTATTACATTCAGCACAGTGCTGGCGGTTTTAAAACTCTCATAAGTCAGTCTGTGAGGGTCAGTAAAATAATTCTGGAGTCAGACTGAAGTTGCCATTCATCAGCTACATATCTTTGAGAAAGTTCTTTAATTAACTGTTAGTGTTTTATAACATCTGAATAACAGGATGTCATGAGTGTATGGAATGCAGAAAGTGCCTGGCACAAAGTATAAGTGTTTGTTTTTATTTATAGGGATAAAATAGATAGGACAAAGATACAACCAGTATTTTGTAAAAGCTCTTTCCTTTTAATAATTGTACCAGACTGACAACGAGCAGGAAAAGTGTTGTTGGCATTAACTTCCTTTCTCTTTCCTACACGCATGGGGTGCGTGTCTCTGTGTGTGTGTGTGTGTGTGTGTGTGTGTGTGTAACTAACACAGCGACTGCTAAGGAATCAGCCTGAGGTTGTTCTGTTTTTCTACAAATGACAGTGGGTCTCCAGGCCTATTCTATGAGAATGTGTCTACCGACTGGCTCTGAGAAGGCACAGCAGGCCCGTGCTTGCCTTTCCCAGCAAAGCTGACCAGGCTGCCAGGGCCACGGGCCAGGGCCGGCGTCTCAGCCCCACCTCGCTCTGAATGCTGGGTACTCGGGTGCAAGGCCGGCCACAGAAACAAAGCAAAGCAAGAGACCCAGTGAGCTTAGTTTCCTGGCCTTGAAAGTCTGCAGGGGAGTTACGTAAACTCAGTATCACGTCAGAGTTTACAATATCCCAGAGACCCTGGACGATGAAGGACAAGGGGTGATCAAAAATACAGTGGATGCTTAAATTTTAAAAATTATAGTAAAAAACGCATTATGACACATCTCCCTTACAGTACTTCCCCTCACTTCAACTTCTTCATTTTTTTTTTGGTACCGAGGATCAAACTCAGGTCCTTGCGCTTGCGAAGCAGGTGGTGGAACCACTGAGCTAAATCCCCGGCCCTCTCCTCACTTCAAACACACTCGTCCCATCATTCTTGCCACTTTTGGAAGCAGATTTTCTTCCTCTGTGTCTTTGCAAAGTAGAATCAAAAGTATGGTGACTGCTGCTTCCGAGCGCCATCCGACAGAAAGGCAGCTCCTGAAAACATGGCGTCGTGTCCTCAGTCACCGGATCTGGCACGTGTGACTTCCAGCTCCTCCCCAGAGTCAGAATGGCCATGAAAGGGACACGTTTTTAGTCATTTCAGGACACGAGGAGGCCAGGTCAGTGCAGCTAAAGACCCTCAGGAAAGAGGACTCCAGAGCTGATGCAGGAAGCAGCCAGGACCGTGGGATGAGTGCATTTGAAGCGAGGGCTGGGTATTCTGAAGGGGATTCATGCAGTGTCTTTTACTGTAATATAATTTGTTTGTGTGAACACACATTATGTTTTTTTCCCCTCACACCTCATACATAAATCTCAGGACAGATCTGTAATTTAAAACAGGATCTTTATATTAAAACAAGCACAAATAGTGTATGGAAGACCAAAATCCCAAAAATTTGTGAACAAAAGAGACAGCAAACAGACTTCTGGTCATCCCTCTAGGGCCTCCCCCGTAGCTCTGCAGTTTTTGTTTTTCGAGTTTTTTTCAGTTCGAGAAGCAATGGTGTAAATTATAATTCGGCAAAAGAAGGTCGGAAGGCAGTAGGGATGAAAGCAGGAAACATAAACGTGATCGGTAATCAGTTATGCGCTTGTCTTTTTTTTTTTTTGGTACTGGGTCCTTGCGCTTTTGAGACAGGCGTTGTAACCACTGAGTTAAACCCCTGGCCCCTCTTGTCTCTTTTTAAAAGGGAACTAAGCCTAGAATTCTCAAGAGGAAAGCTACTGAACCAGGAATAAGCTGTTTCGAAGTGCTTCCAATAAGGCCCAGGACACGGCAGACACTACTTGTTAAACAAATAAAGACCTAACCACTGTCAGGGTCTTTTGCTCCACCGTTGTACCTTCTGTCACATCTTTCTCATCTCAGACACCTAAACTCCCAGTGACCACGATCAGGCTGTACATCTTTCCTTCCCAACTCAGCCCTCTTCGTCAGACTTAGACCTGAATCCCCTTCTCTCCACGTATCCGGGGACCTGTCCTTTCTGTGTTTCCTGTCAAACCTGGAATCATCTGCCAGTGACTCTTGCCTTCACAGTGGAAAGGTCCCTGGGGTCTACTCCAGTGCAAGAGCAGCACTAAGTCCGAAGGTTGTGGTGGGGCTCAAGGTGTTTGGTGCTTAACCTAGGAGTGGGGCCGCCCTCTGAATACTGTTTGTTTCTAATTTGAGACAGGATAGGGTCTCTTTGTGTAGGTCAGGCTGGCCTGAGCTCACCGCGATCCTCCTGCCTCAGCCTCTGGAGTGTGGGTTACAAAGTTGGGCCGCAAGGCCTGGCTGAACACCACTTGTCTTTGCACATTCGTTAACCCTGCTGTGCATTATAAGCCAGGCTGGACAGAAGGGTGGAATGCAGGCAGTGACAAACTCTACTGCTTTACATTCTGCTTCTGCAAGATCTTACGAGGCCTTTTATCTTGAACTCTGAACACCCTGCTGAAGTCTGGTCACCCTGGGGACGCGGGGCAGAGGTCCAGACAGCCAGAGCACTTCCTCCTTCCACCAGCCCGTGCCCAGGCTCAGAAGGAAAACCCAGACACCTGGCATTTTTCAGGCCAGACCTTTTGTACTGTGCTTTCTTCCACAAAGGAAGTGGAAGTGGAGGCTGGAGTTCATGTAAAGGAGTCAAATAGAATCTGTCCTGCTTTGACTTCAACAGGGATAGTTTTGTGCTTAAGTATTTACAGTGCTGCTGCTAACTAACAAAAGAGGATAAAATACAGTGGGGATATAACTGAATAACCGCAAGAGCTGCAAAGGGCTCAAAGGTAACATCTGAAGTTACAATCTCTGATTCTGCCCCTTTCCTGCTGTTTAAAACATCATTACCTTTGAAAGCTTTGCACACTCGTCTGCCTTAGCCAAAGTTCTAAGAATACTGTGGTGGGGTGACTAATGGTCAACTTGTAACGCCCAGCTGAACTGAATCAGCATGGTCTGGGTGCGGAGGATCCACCTGAAGATTGTTAGCAATAGCCATAAAAGAGAACTAGAGGGGAAGATCTTGGCTGTTGATTTTCTAGGAGAAGCTTGCTGTGGACGGTTTTCCTGATGCGAACTGGGCTGTTCTCATCCGAGAAGGAGCTCAGGCCTCACTGTCGCTGGGAATGGCTGCTGTTCTCGTCGGGGAAGCTCTGATCTTCACCCTAAACATCACTTCCTGGCTCCAGTGTGGATCCCTCAGCTTGGTGGCACAAATCCTTCATCTCACCAGTGTAGATTTTCTGGCTTCCTCCACTGCCCTTTGGGCCTTCCAGGTACAGATCCTCCATGCGGACAAGCATAAGATATTGCTGTGGGCTCCAGGCCACTAGCTGGACTCGTGGAGGACGTTACCCTAGACTCGAACCCTTTAGCTGGACTTCTGTGGGACATCGCTGGGACCAGGCCCTCGGCTGGATCCTTTGGGCCCCTGGTGTGTGGTTAATCTCTCTCACACTCCTTTGCATTTGACTCTTTGGGTAATTATCATAAAATAATCTTATAAACTATATGTCCTATAGTAAATGTATTCCCTTGCCCAATCCCCCGATTACAATAAATACTGAGTGGAAAATTCTGGAAATGAACAGTTTTATAAGTGATGAACTGGGCCTGTTCTGATGAATCCTCTGCTGTCCCATTCTGCCCAGAGATGTAAATCACCTTTTGTGCAGGGTGTCCGCACTGCCTGCCCCCGAGCACTGACTAGCCTTCTGGGTCCACTGATCTCACCAGGGCCTTATGGCGCCTGTGTTAAAGCAATCCTTATTTTACTTGAAAACGGCCCTGAAGGCAAGAGGAGTTACATTGGGCAATCCAGATATGTGGAAGCAAAGTCACAAAATACTTTCTCCAAGTGAAAAGGTGAAAATTCAGGCTTAATAAGGGAAGAAAAAAACCACGGTAACGCTACTAAGATCCACAGTAAGAAAAAAATCATTTGTGAAATTCTAAAGAAGGAAAAAACTCGTGCTAGTTCTGCAGGCCCACCACAAACTGCGGAGCTATGGCCACAGCTCGGGGAAGCGCTTGGTCAGGGTGGAGATATGCTACAGGGGCGGCCAGCACCAGCTGGGGCCTGGGCCAGGGCCAGGTCCCCAGGCCGGCGCTCCATCCTCCTCCGGAATGCACTGCAGGCAGCACTGTGGAGCATAGATTTTCAGAGCTGCCACTCGGAAAATGACCCCACTGTGCTTTCCTTTACTTTCAAACCCTAAGAGGAAGCAGCAACAAACTTGCCTGGGTGCAAAGCACCACCAGGCAGGGGGGCCCTCCTCCCTTGCACGACCGCCCTTGCCCTTCGGTCAGGCTGTGAGAAGCAGAGGCACTCGGAGGGACACGACTGGGCCACACTCACCTTGCTTGGAGTTGACATCGGACCGGATGTGTGATGGGTGCGACCCGGGAGAGAAGTGCTCGTCGCTGTAGGTGATGAGGGGCGTGAGGGGGTGCACAGCGTGCGAAGGCTGCACCACGGGCACTTTGTTGGACTGCAGAGAAAGCACAAGGTCCACGGTTAGTGGGTGCCTGGCTCTGTCTCCTCCTGCCCAGGGTCACCCAAGGGCAGCGACCAGTCATCAGCATAGGCCAGGCCCAGAGCCGCTCCAGACTGCAGGACTGAGCTGTCCCACGGAGGACCGTGCTGTCCCAGTCCCCCGGGTTCCCCCTAAGGGACCGGTTACTTCCCCCAGGGCCTGCGAGACTTAGGTCGGTCACCTGGGTCCACGACCGACTCTCCACGCATAGGTGTGCTCGTTTCCTTAACCTGGAGTCTGAAACTACAGGACAGCAACATTTTCTAAACATCTTTGGATTTCATCAACTTGGAATCTGCGATGCTTCTGACTGCAGACAAAACTGAAGTCCACCAAAGCACAAGGCACATCGGCAGCCGTGACTCAGGTTAACCCAACGGGGAGATCATTTTAAAGAAACTAAACTATCTAATAAGATATTGCATGATTGAAAAATGCTAAGAGAGCAGATGTTAAACATTCTCACCACAAAAATAACTGTCATTCAGGCAGATTCAACTATTCCACAATGTACACATACTGCCAAAAATCACATTACACATGAGAAATACAATTTTATCTGTTTCTTTAAAAACAATAAAAAAGAAAAAGGAATTCCGCCCTTCTCTCAAAGAAAGGAAATTGAACACACTTATGTACAGGTAGAGGATGGTTTTGAAGTTAAACCCAACTAATTACAGCAGCCTCTGGAAGGGCTCATCTGGAAGCGCTTCAGTGATGAGTAGGTGTGGATCAGGAGGAACAGAATATAGGGATCCACTGGCTGGGGTGCGCCTTCCCCACACTGTAGAGAGACTTGACCAGACTGGGCAGCACACTGTCACACACAGCTAGGTGCAAATCAGTTTCTCCAGTAGATACTCATAGTACTTTTTTTTTTTTTTTAATAGAACAGTGCTGGGGCTGGGGACTTAGCTCAGTGGTTCCGCTGTCTGCCTCACAAGCACAAGGACCCGAGTTCGATCGCTGGTACCAACCCCCCCCGCCAAAAAAAAACAGTGCCTGAGACATTACACAACTCAAATCGGTTAAAACATAGGCTGTGTTGGCTATGGTAGCTACACCTGTGGTGCACACTAATTTTGAATTTTATATATATAGAATTTTACAGAATTCAT